TGTAAGACCAGCAGAGGGCAGCACGAGGCCGCTGCAGGAGCTGGAGGGCAGGCTGGCCCTGGTCTGAAGGCGCCTGGAGGAGGAGAGAACAGAAGCCCAGCCTCCCGCTGAAATTAGCGGAAAGACAGGGACGTGGCATTAGTGCGCACTCCCGGCGCACGTCCCCCCGTCCCTGACCCCGGGACAGGGACAGAGTAGTTACACGCTTGCTTGTGGGGAGCGGTTGTCAAGGAAACTGGCTTAGTCCTGAGACAAAGAATTTCAGTCTCACTGCTTACTGTGTGGCTTTGGGCAAGTTATTGGACCTGCCTGAGCCTTGGCTTCCCCGTCTATTAAATCAGAGAAGCAGGGTCCACCTTATTGGGTCAGTGTGAGCTCATGAATACACAAGTAAGTGCTTAATAAATGTTAACCCTTGCCTAGCTGGTTTGGCTCAGTGAATAGAGCGTCAGCCTGTGGATTGAAGGGTCCCAGGTTTGATTCCAGTCAAGGGCACATGCCTGGGTTGCGGGCTCGATCCCCAGTAGGGGGTGTGCAGGAGGCAGCCGATCAATGATACTCTCTCATCATTGATGTTTCAATCTCTCTCTCCCTCTCCCTTCCTCTCTGAAATCAATAAAAAAAAATGTTAACCCTTATCAGCACTTTTCTTATTGCATCATAATTGCCCATCTGTACATCTCTCTCCTCCACCACAGGATCCCTGCTGAGATTAAATGAGTCAGTCATCTTGGCATTTACCTGTGCCCAGCACCAGCCCTGATAAAAAGAACTGTTCCTTAGACTCCATGGAGCTGAGATGAGATGAGGTTGTGGGGCTTCCACACACGGACCTACAGAGTCTCTGCTCAGACCTCAGTTCAAACCAGCCACTCTGCACCCACAGACTCCAGTCCCACGGAGTCCAGTGGCTTTGCTCCATCCCGGCAGCCTGACCTGAAAAAGTGATTCAGAACATCTTAAGTGAGGGGGAGAGTTAGAGAATGATATGAACAGTCAGATCCATTTCAGGTTTTAAGAAAATATAGCACTAACATACAGCAACATTCAGAGGGACAGACCGAAAAGCCAACAAGCACTTGAGGAGATACTGAAGGTCATTGGTCATCAGGGATATGATAAGTAAAACAACAAAATAGCCCTTGACGCCCGGTAACTGGCTAAAACCAGAGAGTGGAAAACACAAAGTTGGGGGAGAGGGGATGTGTGGATACAGAAACTGGTGTGCACTGCTGGGGAGTGTGGACTGCAGCAGTCATTCTGGACAGCAAGCTGGCAGTGTTCAGGCAAGTTAGCCAAAGAATGGAAGCCACCTATATGTCCACCAACTGATGAATGGATAAACAAAGGGTGGTATGTTCATACAATGGAATATTACCCAACATTGAAAAGGATGGAAGTGCTGCTACACAATACAATGTGGATAAATTTATACAAAATGTCCAGAATAGGCAAAGCTATAGAGACAGAAAATAGATTACTATTTGCTTAGGGCCTGGGGCATGGAAGGATTGGAAGTAGATATCTAATGATTATAATAAGGTTTCTTTTCGGAATGATGAAAATGTTCTAAAGTTGATTGTAGGAGTGGTTGCACAACTCTGTGAATATATTATAAACCATTGAATTGTATACTTTAAGTAGGTGAATTGTATCATATGTGAATTATATCTCAATAAAGCTGTTACCAAAAAAAAATGACATAAAGGCCAGCTTCAAGGGACTCCCACTGACTGCAGTTGGAACAATTTGCCAAGTAAATAATAACAGTATCAAGTAACCCATTGAATACAATCCATTGCATGTATGTGTATAAACAATATAGAGAGAATTTGATGAGTATCAGGATATGCTCAGAGTCTCAAAATCCCTCCCCAAAATATTTATTAATAACAAAGGGAAAATAATAACTTGACAGGGAGAAACAGCAGATGCCACCTTGCTGAAATGATTCAAGTTCACATCACAGTAATGGGATAAATCAGAATCATGCCCCACCTAATAGGTTACAATGAGAAGAATTCAGCATCACTTCAGTGATATTCCTGCCAAAGATGCATAATCTGGATTGAATCGTGAGGATGCATCAGACAGACTCAGACTGATGGACATTCTATAGAATAACTGGCCATGAAATCAAGAAAAGGCTGGAACTCTTCCAGATTGAAGGAGTCTAAAAAGACAATGTCAACTCAATGCAATACATAATCTCAACTGAGCCCTTTTGCTACAGGGATATTGTCAGGACAATTGACAAAATTTAATGAGGTGTAAGTACTTGATGGCAATAATGTTAATCTTATGATTTTGATAACTGTATTGTGATTGTGAGGGAAAATATCCTTGTTTATTGGAAATATAAAATAATGAAATAACCTCAGCAAGTTATGCTCAAATGGGTTTGCAGTAGGGTGAGTTCTTTATATTTGATGACTTTTCTGTAATATAAAACGAGAAACTATTATGTATATAAAATGCCTGGCTCATATTCTTCAAAAATCTCTGTGTTACAAAAGGCAAAGAAAAGTCGGTGTAAGTACTTGATGGCAATAATGTTAATCTTATGATTTTGATAACTGTATTGTGATTGTGAGGGAAAATATCCTTGTTTATTGGAAATACAAAATAATGAAATAACCTCAGCAAGTTATGCTCAAATGGGTTTGCAGTAGGGTGAGTTTTTTATATTTGATGACTTTTCTGTAATATAAAACAAGAAACTATTATGTATATAAAATACCTGGCTCATATTCTTCAAAAGTCTCTGTGTTACAAAAGGCAAAGAAAAGTCAATGAACTGTTTCCAGCTAAAGGACATTAATAAGAACTTGAAAACTAAATGCAATGAATGGTATTGGATTAGTGATTTCCAACCGAGTGCCACAAGAATTTTTAAAACATGCAATACCTTAGTATTTAGTCAGGGGCACTGACCTCTTTTCTTTTAGATTGTCAAATTTTAAAAATGACAACAGCAATGACCATCTGGTGTGAAGAAATCAAAATTATACCTATTTTTGTCAGATCTTCAAAAATATATATTTTAGTGTGCTGCAGAAATTTAGTAATTAGTTTATGTGTACCATGAGATGAAAAGGGTTGAAAATCACTGGATTAGGTCCTAGGCCAGGAAAAATATAACATAAAAAAACATTATTGGGACAACTGGTATATTTGAATAAGACCTGAAGATTCTATATCTCTCTATCAATGTTAAATTTCCTGATTTTGATCATTGCACTGTAGTCATGTAGGTGAGGGTCTTCATTCTTAAAAAATACACACTCGAGTTTTTAAGCATAAAGGGGCATGGTGTCTGCCACTAATTCACAAATGCTTCAATAGCAATCTTATAAATACATAGAGAGAGAATGATAAAGCAAATGCAGCTAAAAATGTACATGCTGAAATTGTTTATACAATTCTTGCAACCTTTCCATAAATTTGAAATAATTTTCAAATAGTTTTTTTAAAGAATGTAAAAAACAAAATGAAATATAAAACCCAATGTACATAAATAATTAACACATGCACACAAAACAATGCATATTTTGTGAGAATATATAACAGCAAAGATATACACTGAACACAACCCAATGGTTCTTTATTGGGTGGGAGGGGGAGGAGAATGGGAATGAACGAACCGAAGAGACTAAATAAAACAATTTGTTTACAGACTGGAGAGCAGTCTCCAGGGGTGGGCAAACTTTTTGACTCGAGGGCCACAACAGGTTCTTAAACTGGACCCGAGGGCCGGAACAAAAGCATGGATGGAGTGTTTGTGTGAACTAATATAAATTCAAAGTAAACATCATTACATAAAAGGGTACAGTCTTTTTTTTTTTTAGTTTTATTAATTTAAAACGGGCCGTAGTTTGCCCATGGCTGGACTCTAGACTAACAACCGCTGCCACCAAATTTCTCACCTCACACTTCTGAGGAATGGGGTGTGATAGGAGTGGAGACAAACATGAAGGGGGGGATGTCAATTGTTTCTTGTTTTATCTTTACATTTTGGCATTGTTTGAATTGTTTTATGATATAAATGAAATACATGCATATACTATTTATGTCATTTTTAAAATAAAGGAAAAAATAGTGGAATATCCTTTTGATGTTACCTAGACAACTATTAAAAATGAGATAGAGCTACATCCACTGACATAGGAGAATGCCATGGTCTACTAAGTGTTTTTAGTAGCAATTTGCAGAGTAGCAGGGATAGTATAAATAGTTGTTGCAGAAGACATAGTTCACATATGCATAATTGTAACTATTAGCCATGCTACCCCTAAAGGGAGGATTAAGAGGGACTTGTATACACTTCTAGTCTGATTATTTTTCAGATTTGTTAACAAATTTGTGAATTTGTTGATTTTTAATTAAACATATAATGCATGAATACAATCTTATGATGGAAAAATAACACGTATTGCTTTTATGATTTAAGATACATATTACTGTAAGAGAAGGAACTGTTTCTTACAGAACAATTGATTTTTTAAATTTATTGATTGATTTGAGAGAGAGAGAGAGAAACATCAATTTTTTCCACTTATTTACCCGTTCATTGGTTGCTTCTTGTATGTGCCCTGACCAGGGATGGAACCCGAAACCTTCACTATGGGACGACGCCCTAACTGAGTTACCCGCCCAAGGCAGAACAATTGATATTATTAAATAAGGAAATGTAAGCTCCCTTTCAACGAGACACAAATTTAAACAATAATGATTATGTAATTGTGCCTCTATTCATATAGCTAATATGGTGCAAATGCCCAACGGTGAGGTTGTCAGTTTTCAGTTCTCTTGGATGGGATGGTAAGAGTCTCACCTCCCGGACACTCCCACCCACACTCAACCCTCCTGCCAAGTCTAAGCCACTAGTGCCTCTGCAAACCCACAAAGTTCTCCGCCGCCCAGCCTGTGCGGGAGAAGGTGCCTACGTCCTTTCCTCAGTTTGTCCGACTGTCCAGGTCACTTCCACTGTGGAGCCTTACCTGTCTTCCCCCAGGCAGGACAAGGAACTCCCAGTCTCCCGCAACCCTAGTGCTCCATTGCCCCTCTTCCCTCCCCCTAGAGGTCTCACCACTCTGAGAAGTCTTGCTCCGGACCAGTCACAGC